TTGTTGCGAGGGAGAACAGCAGCAATGGGAGGCCGTGACAGGACCACTAGCCAGCAGCCAAATGGGAGGCCGTAACAGGACCATGACAGATTACGGGCAGCGCTCTCAGCAAGGAGAGAGTAGGCTGGTACGGGAGGGGGCCCATGGCAGATTGCGCTACGGCCTGGGCTAGCATTGATCAGTCAATGGGAAGGGCCCGTAATCTGCCAGCACCCTATGAGACAAAATGGAACCCCACCAGCAGTGTGAGGAGACCTGAAAGTGGCACAGAGGCAGAGTGTGTGGAGCGATGGAGAAGACCCAGCAGTCAATGGGAGGCCGCGTGAAAACAGGGACCCTGACACACTCTGGACCCTGGCAGCAGCATATGCAAGGAAGGCGGATACTAGGGTGGGCCCATAAGGGACCAGATTACGAGGCCTGGCATGCAGCATGATGAGGAGTTCGGCCACAACCCCCTCAGCCGTCATCCTAATCAACTGGGCCGCCCTGTGCAGCAACGCTGGTGAAGGAGGCGCCAACCAGCGAGAAGCACATATGACGCAGCACCTGGCTACTGGCATCAAGCAGCAAATGCTAGGCCGAAAGAACTCAGTGGGCCCATGAGTGATTCTGGCACCAGTGGCACAGCATCACGAGTGCCCATGGTCAAGGATACGGGCCTGGCAGGCAGCAATGGGAGGCCGTAATCTCTGCACACATGACACTAACTGGACCTGGCCAGCAGTGGTTAGGAGACCTGATAAGTGCGGCACATGGCAGCTCTACCCGATGGAGACAGCAGCAATTGGAGGCCGTGACATGGGACCCATGAGACACGTCCTGGACCTTGCAGCAGCAAACCCCATTGGAGGCGGTACAGGGGTGCCCACTGTGGCACGATTAACGGGCCTGGCAGCAGCAATGGAGCTCGTATGGCCCGATGAACCTGCAGCTAGGACCTGATGCAAGCAATGGAACCCGAGCCCAGCAGTCCATGTGGAAGATTCACCTCATCATCATCAAGTAGTTGGTCTGAGCACTAACTTAGCCCCCTCAGGCTGGCAGAGTGTGGGTCAGGAGACAGCACCTGTCTCGGGAGGCCGCTACAGAGCCACTCTCCATGACAGTACACTTCTTGGACCTGGCAGCTGATGAGAGGCGGACTGTACAGAGGGGCCCATGACCGTTACGGGCCTGGCAGCAGCAATACTGTTAGCTCTTCCACCCACTGTACAGTGGGGCTGAGCCCACAGCAAGCGATACTTCGCTTGGTGAGGGAGACACGCAAAGGTCAGGGGCATAGAGACACGTGATTTTGTGGGCTCATGCTCCCGGACCCTATGTCCAACTAAAGAGTTGTTGTCTGAACTACCCACCGACCGTTGCTGCTGTAGTTTCAGAGGAGACCTGGAAAGAGGAAGACGACCGTAGCCCAACCAATCCGCTAATGGCGAGGTATCCGTGCCAGTCACGACCGCTGGATGACACCGTGTCCTGGCCTGGCTGCGAACTAATGTGGCCAAATCGATCCCGCCTTCCTCTGCTGCCTGACTGCTCGCATCCTGAAACATTGCCTCCTCTGCCACTCCTCTGCGTGTTGTCTGACAGGCACTCTTTGAAGGCAGCTATTTCTGTGTCCCTGAGTTAAACGATTCTGTGTCCTGAGGTAACGATTCATCGTGTCCCACATGGCACGATTCTGTGGTCCCTGAGCAACAATTCTGGGAGGCCCGTAATTAAAGGGCAGCACCCCTATGATAACAATGGAAGCCTGTGTCTGTCCACTATTGTGAGGACAACTCTGAGTCACTGGGCAGATCATTGTGTGCGTCCCTGGAGACAGCACAATGGGCTGTGCCGTACAGGATGCTACCCACAGATCACACATCTGTGTCCCTGTCACGTAAGGCATGAGGAGACCTGGTTAACAATTCAGGTCTGTCCCACATGTCGAGTCGATCTAGCAGAGGAGTGTCTGTGTCCCTGCAGATGTAACAATTCTGGCAGCAGTCCCAAATGGTAACAGCGACCTCTGGTGTCCCTAGACACGTACCATGCAAGATTGAGGTGTCCCTGAAAGTAACACTTCGCATTAGTGGTGGCCCTGAGAGAACTTTCAATGGGGAGGCCGTTACAGGGACCCTGAGTTACACCCTCTGGACCTGGCAGGCCAGCATGTAGGGGCGGTAGCGGGGGCCCTCATAACAGATACACTGGGCCCTGTCCCTCAGCAACAATGTTCTGAGGTCGGTCCCAACACCATTCTGTGTCCCTGTCAGTAACAGATTGAAATGGGCCATGGCTGAGTGTGCAGCAATTGGGAGTCCCTGAGTAAAACAATTTCTGTGCACCCATACAACATTCATGAGTGACTGTCTCCTGAGTTAGAACAGCATGCTGTTCCATGAGGAGGCCGTTCATGTGAACCCTGAGTAACAATTCTGGCACCTGGCAGCAGGCTTATGCGGTGCCTCCCTCAGGTACAGCACAGTGCCCAATGAGTGAACAATTAACACTGTGTCCCCTGAAGCAACACGCGATGTGTGGCCCTGGAGTAACAGCTCTGAGTCCCTGAGTAACAAGTGGAAACCCTGTGTCTGTGAGAGTAACAATTCTGGTGTCCATGTGAGTTAACAGTGCTGTGGGCCCTGAGAACAGTGCAATTAGGAGGTATGGAACAATTCTGAGTACTCTGTGTCCCATGAATAACAATTCTGTGTACCCCTCATAACAAGATTTCTGTGTCCCCATGCAGTAACAATTCTGGGTCTGTTTCCCGATTAACAATTCTGCCAGCCCCTGAGTAAAAAATGTGTCCACCCAGTAACATTCTGTGTCTGTCCCTGAGTAACAATTCTGGCCCATGGTAACAAGTCTGTGTCCCCTGGAGTAACAATTCTGTGTTCCCTGAGTAACAATAGTCAGGGTCCCTGAGTAACAATTTCTGTGTCCCTCAGTAAACAATTCTGTGTCCATGAGTAACAATTCTGTGGCTGTCCCTCAGTAAAAATTCTGTGTCCTAATGGGCGCAGTAACAATTCTGTGTCTGTCCTAGAGTAACAATTCTGTGTCCCTGAGTAACAATCTGTGTCCCTGAGAGTAACAATTCTGTGTCTGGCCCTGAGTAACAATTCTGTGTCCCTCAGTAACAATTCTGTGTCCCTCAGTAACAATTCTGTGTCCCTCAGTAACAATTCTGTGTCTGTCCCTAGAGTGTCCCAATTCTGTGTCCCTGAGTAACAATTCTGTGTCCCTCAGTAACAATTCTGTGTCCCTCAGTAACAACTCTGTGTCCCTCAGTAACAACTCTGTGTCTGTCCCTAAGTAACAATTCTGTGTCCCTGAGTAACAATTCTGTGTCCCTAAGTAACGATTCTGTGTCCCTAAAGTCTCTCTGGCCCTAACTCTGTCCCTAATACAGACAGGTCTGTCTCTCTTGACATGACCGGCAGGCTAATGGACCTGTGTAGCCAGATGGCCGCAATTTATAGCTCCACCATTACATTCAGTGCTGGCTGGCTGGCTGCTGATTGGCTAATGCCTGATCACATGTCATGAATGAATGCATTATGGGTCAGCGTGCCTTGTCTGCACATGGGCCTTCCCAGAGATCCCCGCTCTGTCGCCACACATGTCGCCGCCATTTTGTGGGAAAATTCGAATTCGTGCATCCGAAAGTTGGCTAATTTTCGGATTCGGACAGCGAAGCAAATATTTCCCAATATTCAAAACGAATTCCACTTCGCCATGTTCGATTCGCTCATCTCTAATTATAACCCTTTTCAATGAGTGGAAATACAAGCTCCCAAATGACTTTTTCCATTTGCTCCAATGTAATCTGGGCATTCAGGGGGATACAGTTGGATGTCCTAAACCCCATATTGGGCCCTTTTGGCTGGGATAAAACTGCTTGAAGCTCAGCCTGCCTGCAGCATGAGGAGGCAGTACGGGGTCCCATGGCAGATTACGGGCCTTGCAGCAGCAATGGGAGGCCCGTAATCTGCCAGCACCCTATGACAAAATGGAACCCACCAGCAGTGTGAGGAGACCTGAAAGTGGCACATGGCAGAGTGTGGCGATGGAGACAGCAGCAATGGGAGGCCGTACAGGGACCCATGAGACACTCTGGACCTGGCAGCAGCATGAGGAGGCGGTACGGGGGCCCATGGCAGATTACGGGCCTGGCAGCAGCAATGGGAGGCCCGTAATCTGCCAGCACCCTATGACAAAATGGAACCCACCAGCAGTGTGAGGAGACCTGAAAGTGGCACATGGCAGAGTGTGGCGATGGAGACAGCAGCAATGGGAAGCCGTACAGAAACCCATGAGACCACTCTGGACCTGGCAGCAGCATGAGGAGGCGGTACAGGGACCCATGACACACTCTGGACCTGGCAGCAGCATGAGGAGTTCGGTACGGGGCCCATGACAGATTACGGGCCTGGCAGCAGCAATGGAGGCCCGTAATCTGCCAGCACCCTAATGACAAAATGGAACCCACCAGCAGTGTGAGGAGAGACCTGAAAGTAGCACATGGCAGAGTGTGGCGATGGAGACAGCAGCAATGGGAGGCCGTACAGGGACCCATGACACACTCTGGACCTGGCAGCAGCATGAGGAGGGCGATACAGGGGCCCATGACAGATTACGGGCCTGGCAGCAGCATGAGGAGTCGGTACGGGGGCCCATGGCAGATTACGGGCCTGGCAGATGACGACGAGGCTGCCAAGTGCGATCAGCCTCATCATCATCAATTAGGGTCTCCGCCTCACTACTAGCCCCCTCGGCTGCATGTGGGTCAGGAGACAGACCTGTCTCTAGACCGCTACCGAGCCATTCTCCTCGCCAGTACTTCTTCGCCTGGCTGCTGAAGAGGCGGATGTCTCCCCCCGTTCCTAACCGCCCTCTGTTAGCTCTTCCTCACTGTACAGTGGGGCTGAGCCCACAGCATGCGATACTTCGCTTGGTGAGGGAACACCAAAGGACAGGGGCAGGTAGAGGACACGTGATTTCAGTGGGCTTGCTCCCGGGCCATGCCAACTAACGGTTGTGTCTGACGTACCCACCGACCGTTGGCTGTAGGTGTCAGAGGTGACCTGGGAAGAGGAAGACGACCGAGCCAACCAATCGATGACGGCAGGGTTATCGGTGGAGACACGACCGCTGGATGACACCGGGAGCACTGGCCTCTGGCTGCGACTAGTGCTGCCTCGACCCCTTCCTCTGCTGCCACGTCTACTCGCTCCTGAAACATTGCCTCCTCTGCCACTCCTCTGCGTGTTGTCTGACATACTCTTTAATTCAACGATTCTGTGTCCCTGAGTAACGATTCTGTGTCCCTGAGTAACGATTCTGTGTCCCTCAGTAACGATTCTGTGTCCCTGAGTAACGATTCTGTGTCCCTGAGTAACGATTCTGTGTCCCTGAGTAACAATTCTGTGTCCCTGAGTAACAATTCTGTGTCCCTGAGTAAGAATTCTGTGTCTGTCCCTGAGTAACAATTCTGTGTCCCTTCTGTGTCCCTCAGTAACAATTCTGTGTCCCTCAGTAAAAATATTTCTGTGTCCCTGAGTAACAATTCTGTGTCCCTGAGTAACAATTCTGTGTCCCTGAGTAACAATTCTGTGTCTGTCCCTCAGTAACAATTCTGTGTCCCTCATAACAATTTCTGTGTCCCTGAGTAACAATTCTGTGTCCCTGAGTAACAATTCTGTGTCTGTCCCTGAGTAACAATTCTGTGTCCCTGAGTAACAATTCTGTGTCCCTGAGTAACAATTCTGTGTCTGTCCCTGAGTAACAATTCTGTGTCTGTCCCTGAGTAACAATTCTGTGTCTGTCCCTCAGTAACAATTCTGTGTCCCTCAGTAACAATTCTGTGTCCCTCAGTAACAATTCTGTGTCCCCTCAGTAACAATTCTGTGTCCCTGAGTAACAATTCTGTGTCTCTGAGTAACAATTCTGTGTCTGTCCCTGAGTAACAATTCTGTGTCCCTCAGTAACAATTCTGTGTCCCTCAGTAACAATTCTGTGTCCCTGAGTAACAATTCTGTGTCTGTCCCTGAGTAACAATTATGTGTCCCTGAGTAACAATTTCTGTGTCTGTCCCTGAGTAACAATCTCTGTGTCCCTGAGTAACAATTTCTGTGTCCCTGAGTAACAATTCTGTGTCCCTGAGTAACAATTCTGTGTCTGTCCCTGAGTAACAATTCTGTGTCCCTCAGTAACAATTCTGTGTCCCTCAGTAACAATTCTGTGTCTGTCCCTCAGTAACAATTCTGTGTCCCTGAGTAAACAATTCTTGTCCCTGAGTAACAATTCTGTGTCTGTCCCTGAGTAACAATTCTGTGTCTGTCCCTGAGTAACAATTCTGTGTCTTTCCCTGAGTAACAATTCTGTGTCCCTGAGTAACAATTCTGTGTCCCTGAGTAACAATTCTGTGTCCCTGAGTAACAATTCTGTGTCTGTCCCTCAGTAACAATTCTGTGTCCCTCAGTAACAATTCTGTGTCTGTCCCTGAGTAACAATTCTGTGTCCCCTGAGTAACAATTCTGTGTCCCTGAGTAACAATTCTGTGTCTGTCCCTGAGTAACAATTCTGTGTCCCTCAGTAACAATTCTGTGTCCCTCAGTAACAATTCTGTGTCCCTCAGTAACAATTCTGTGTCCCTGAGTAACAATTCTGTGTCTGTCCCTGAGTAACAATTCTGTGTCCCTCAGTAACAATTCTGTGTCCCTCAGTAACAATTCTGTGTCCCTCAGTAACAATTCTGTGTCCCTCAGTAACAACTCTGTGTCCCTCAGTAACAATTCTGTGTCTGTCCCTAAGTAACAATTCTGTGTCCCTGAGTAACAATTCTGTGTCCCTGAGTAACAATTCTGTGTCCCTAAGTAACGATTCTGTGGCCCTAAAGTCTCTCTGGCCCTAACTCTGTCCTAATACAGACAGGTCTGTCTCTCTTGAATGACCGGAGGCTAATGAGAATTGTAAGATGGCCGCAATTTATAGCTCCACCATTACACAGTGCTGGCTGGCTGGCTGCTGATTGGCTAATGCGATCACATGTCATGAATGAATGCATTATGGGTCAGCGTGCCTTGTCTGCACGCCTTCCCAGAGATCCCCGCTCTGTCGCCACACATGTCGCCGCCATTTTTGGGAAAATTCGATTCGTGCATCCGAAGTTGGCTAATTTTCGTATTCGGCGCGAATCGAATATTTCCCAATATTCGAAACGAATTCCACTTCGCCATGTTCGATTCGCTCATCTCTAATTATAACCCTTTTCAATGAGTGGAAATACAAGCTCCCAAATGACTTTTCCATTTGCTCCAATGTAATCTGGGCATTCAGGGGGATGCAGTTGGATGTCCTATAACCCCATATTGGGCCCTTTTGCTGGGGATAAACTGCTTGAAGCTCAGCCTGCCAGTGAAGGGGACAAGCGACTCATCCAAGCAGATATTTTTGTCCTGGACAAATAACTGGGAAAATGTATTGGAGAAAAAAATTAAGGAGTTGCCAATTTTTATACAATTTATCATATGCTGGGTCATTTAGGGGAAGGCTAAAAAACCAAACTAAATGCATAAAAATCTGTGGTTATTGCTATATAAAGTAAATGCTGTCAAGTAACCAAAAAACCTATACATAAAGAACAATGTGAACAGAGTGTTCACAGAAGAAAAGCAGTTACATTAAGGACAAAGGAATACACAAAATGTAATCATATAATGCTTTTATTAGCAATCACGGAACTATCCATCCCAGGAAGGGTAACTTTGCTTCCTACTGGCCAAGCAGGTGGTGAGTTGCACACTTCATTCACACCTGGATGACACGGCGCACTTATCTGAAGTCAGGGTTCTGCCTATAGGAGACCTTATATGGCGGCTGCCATACGGACTCCCCTTAAGGAACTTAAGGAACTATCCATCCCAGGAAGGGTGACTTTGTTTCATATTGGTCAAGCAGGTGGTGAGTTGCACATTCCACTCATACCTGGATGATACGACACTTCATACCTAAGGATAATATAACGCTATACCCTTTCACTGACCCTATGAAGATCTCTATATGACCATCATTGAATGACATAAATTGAAGTCACACATATCCATTTCAGTGACTGGCCCGAGGAGGTCATGCTACATTTTGGTTGATTCAAGTGCTTTTATTTGCCACCACTTTGACACACATTTGTGTATACTGACTTTACTTGCCTGCATCCATTACCAGGAACTTTTCCATCAAGTGACCTTTCCCACACTTGGGTTTGTGATTATTTACATCCTGTGATAGATTTGGATTATATCCGTTCCAGTACAATTTCTCCACTTGGTCTTTAGCACTGAAACCGTATATCTGGTTATTATATATATTTATCCCAGTGGTGTACCCCGATGTGTTTGCTGTCTTGGCAGAAGACTATATAGTCGTTGCTGTGACGATCGCGGTGTCAGACCCCAGCCCTTCTCACAAAACTCGTGACCGAAGGACTAGCCAATCTAAAACCGCGCTGTCATGTGCGTAACAATGCCACGCCCAGCTGCACCCTGCACAATGCTTTTCCAGCTAATGGACCACCTGCAGCCTGAGCGCAATTGTTACTGGGTCAGGTTAATTACGCAATTAACCCTTCACATGCCACCACCTCCTTTTTGTACAGAGAAAGAGGAAACTCAGCAATATCAGCAATAACACTATGATGTTTGAATAATCGTCGGTATACCACTGTCACTGCAGGCAGCGATATACCGAAGTTTAAAACACACACAGTAGCGCTTTTCAGAGGCAGGGGTTCTGAGTTTGCATTAAAGAGCTTTAGAAACAGTTCAACACTTTCAGAAAGTAAGATTTATTACTAAAAGGTCAAAAGGGTGCAATAAAAATATTTACAGAAAAAGATGTACCCAGTATATATATATATAAATATACAGAAAACAATAGCACAGCAAAGAGATAACAGAAAGGAATTTAGAAAGATAAAGTACTTGCCAGTCAGCCTTGGTTTAAGCAGCTTCCAAATTTCAGAGCCAAAAGGATGCTTTTATCTCCCACTGTTAGTTCCGATATTAAAAAGGGAGATTCTTCAACTTCCCACAAGTTTAGCTTTTTCTAGCAACTCCACAGGGTGTCTCCCTGGAGCAGTAAACCAATCGCCTCATTTGGGGAGGGAGTTGTAGGTGGAGACCCAAGCTATGACCAAAAACTCTGCTAGCTTATATTATGGTTCATAACTTATTCTCGGTGCATTTAGCAGCCTTGCCACTAGTAGATTAATATGCAGATGCATCTGCTGAATGGTTAGATATGAAATATGACATATCTGCTTGAATGGTTCAGGAGATATAATTTTCTGCTCTCCAGTATATGTCAGATAGGAGGTGTAATATATCAGGAGACTGGTCTTAAAGTGAGCCGTCCGAATATGGGCTCCATGTTTATGTAATTATGTCCTATTTGAAGATATAAAATTATATGGAAAAGTGAGTTTTTAAATGTAAGCCTGTTTTTTTACAACCCCTGGATTGTCTTTTGAAGCTCGGTGAGGGCTCGGTTTATGGCTTTATGAGCCCTTCACTAGCAAGAGTTTCTTAGACAGAGGGGCACCAGCTAGT